ATTCTTCTGGGGAAATTTCCTGGTCGGTTGCATATATAATAATTTATCGAAGGAAAATTGATAAGATTTGATGTAATTAATCAGTAGAACCGCTTTCACAAATGAATAAAATCTGTGTTAATTGCAAATAAAAATAAGCCAGGAAATACCATTTCCCATTTTTAAATTGGAAATATATTCTTCTGGGGAAATTTCCTGGTCAGTTGCATATATAATAATTTATCGAAGGAAAATTGATAAAATTTGATGTAATTGATCAGTAGAACCGCTTTCACAAATGAATAAAATCTGTGTTAATTGCAAATAAAAATAAACCAGGAAATACCATTTCCCTCTTTTAAATTGGAAATATATTCTTCTGGGGAAATTTCCTGGTCAGTTGGTTCTCCATCAGTTACCAGAAATAAGGCTCTTTTGGCTCCTTTACGTAAGACTGGAGTAACATCAACAAAAACCTTCGAAAATGCATCTCCCATATCACTTCCACCTCCTTGAGGCTATGAACAGAAAAATCAAAAACGCTTTAAATACTAACCTAAACGATAAAATTATGTAAAAACTCATAATTTTCAACAATTCCTTCACTTCATTCGACGTTTACGAGGTTGAAGTTATAATGAATTAATCAATATATTCATTGCCTTATTAAATTTGCTTGACAAATTACATTATATTGTTAATTTCAGTGAAACATTAAATAAACACACCAGTTCTTTTTATTTTAAAATTTAGCTCTCGTGGCAGTTCAGTTCATTATTCAACATAATTGTAGAAATTGGATACACAAAATACTCTTCAATACTGATTAATTTGTTTTTAAAGTACATGTAAAAGTTTATTTTGTACATTAAATATTAAGTAGTAATTAGTTAATGTTTTATTTATTTCGGTAGTTTTGTACTTTGAGGACGTTAAAAGGAGAACAATAGAATTGTACTTTCAATCAGACGGAAGCATCTGCCCCTCAGTGGCACAGCGGTATGTCTGCTGACTTACAACGCTAGAAACCGGCTTTCAATACCCGTGGTGGGCGTAGCACAGATAGCCCATTGTGTAATTTTGTGCTTGATTACAAACAAACGAAAGCATTTAATGAATTGTTCAAGATGGCTCAGAGTTTCGGGTCTTCCTCTCTAAGTGTTGGAGAAAATTAATTTGAGGCAGAACAAGCATCATGTTTTAGTATATTTCAACTAACCAACAGTTAGAAATAGATATTTTTAGCCACTGCATATCGGCTCATAGAATGACTCTGAGTTTTTGTTCAAGTACAAAATCTTAGCTCGTAGCTCCATCTCTTGACCGATTTGAGATCTAATTATAGCCACGGCTATTGAGGATTCTCCTCTTGTTTTTCAAGTACAAACTTTTAGCTCATAACCCTACCTCTTGAACGATTTGAGATATAATTACAGCCGCAGCTATTGAGGATTCCCTCTTGTTGTAATTTATATAATTCCACAGTTAAAACTTTTTCTTAAAATAATACTTACAAACAGAGCATTTTTATTATTGAGATGTCTCTTCCCCAAGCTCTTATTATCAGCTGTACTACAGATATGTAAACGACGCACACTAATAAAAACCGCTTTATAAAGTGAACTCATATGCACAGAACGTAACGTACTGTTAGACTGCCAACATTATTTGAACTGTTATCATTCTATTTTATACAATAACCTACATTCAAATTCTGAAAAAAAGAAAAGATTTATTTTACTACTCCCATTTCTAGAGTATTAACAGCCACGACTGCCGAGATCGCTGTAGGCTATTAACAGCCACGACTGCCGAGATCGTTGTAGGCTATTAACAGCCACGACTGCCGAGATCGTTGTAGGCTATTAACAGCCACGACTGCCGAGATCGTTGTAGGCTATTAACAGCCACGACTGCCGAGATCGTTGTAGGCTATTAACAGCCACGACTGCCGAGATCGTTGTAGACTAACAACAACCATATCTACCGAAGGTCATTTCAGATTATTAGCAGCTTTACCTATGTGATTTTGGGTCTCTTTTTACTTTACTGTATAGTAATCTGAATTAATTTAGGTATGTGAATAATCAATATTATGACATTTCGTCGAATTCATTGTTCGATATTATACAGCGGACCAACTGTTTAATGATTGTATATATATATATTAAAGATTTCTTTTATTTTTCACCAGAGGTGAAATTGGTTTGCTGACCCAAGCTGTGCTGATGACACTTGAATAGGTGAAACTGCAGTCCACAGCAGAAGGTTCAGCCAATCAAAGAATGCATTAGGCCTCTACGTCACAGTTTCTCATTTCAATTTCACCTCTGTTGAAAAATAAAAAATCTTTAACGTATATGTATATTTATATATATATATATGTATGTATGAATAGATACAATTATTAGCAGATTTGACTGCCGAAATCAATCCTGGTCTGATAATAGCATTTGATTCATATACATTTTATTTATATGAAAATTTATATGGACGTTTAAGGAATTACATATTTTGCTAAGCTAAAGAGAGAAAAACAAATATTGTTGAAAACAATAAACTCCCCAGTGTTTTGTAATTAACATTTACTGTTTCTAAGCCTATATAATAAAGACATATAATTGTCTAAACAACATAGGAAATGAATCAGTTCTATTACAGTGACTTATTTATGATGTACTAAATGTATACGTTAATGAAATTCCCTTCTAAAAACAGGAAACTAAACAAACCGGAATCATGTTGATAATGATTTTAGCTTTGTCTGGGGTATCCACAGTTTTGTTGTTTAAGTTGAGTAGCAGTTGAGCTTTAGTCCCAAACGTTACTACAGCAAGACGAGTGCCCCCTAGAAAGAATAATCCAAATTACTTTTCTATATTGCAGTATATATATTCAAAAGTAGTATAAGTCAAATAATCCCAAACTTAATTGCTCAAAACTATTATAGACTATTAGCAAATATATCAGCTGAATATAATTTTAGACTACCGGTAGCCATGACTTCTGAAGATTATTCTAAACTGTTAACAACCATGACTACTGAATGAAATTCTACACTATTAACAGTCATGATTGCCGAATATAAACATGGTGATTGACCGAAGTGACGTGGCACGGGAAGAATTGTTCCGAGAGGAAAAAAATTCTTCATGGAATGATAATGGTTTTCTGTTGGGATTGACCAAAGTGACGTGACACGAGAGGAATTGCAACAAGAGAAAAAAAAATTCTTCATGGAATGATGATGGTTTTCTGTTGGGATTGACCGAAGTGACGTGACACGAGAGGAAAAAATTCTTCATGGAATGATAATGGTTTTCTGTTGGGATTGACCGAAGTGACGTGACACGAGAGGAAAAAAATTCTTCATGGAATGAAAATGGTTTTCTGTTGGGATTGACCGAAGTGACGTGGCACGAGAGGAATTGCAACAAGAGAAAAGAAATTCTTCATGGAATGATGATGGTTTTCTGTCGGGATTGACCGACGTGACGTGACACGAGAGGAATTGCAACAAGAGATAACAATTCTTCATGGAATGAAGATGGTTTTCTGTTGGGATTGACCGAAGTGACGTGGCACGAGAGGAATTGCAACAAGAGAAAACAATTCTTCATGGAATGAAGATGGTTTTCTGTTGGGATTGACCGAAGTGACGTGGCACGAGAGGAATTGCAACAAGAGAAAACAATTCTTCATGGAATGAAGATGGTTTTCTGTTGGGATTGACCGAAGTGACGTGACACGAGAGGAACTGCAACAAGAGAAAACAATTCTTCATGGAATGAAAATGGTTTTCTGTCGGGATTGATCGAAGTGACGTGGCACGAGAGGAATTGCTCCAAGAGAAAAAAAAATTCTCCGTGGAATGTTGATGACTTTCTGCTGGTAATTGACCAAACTGATGTGGCACAGAGGGCATTGTTCCGATGTTTCTGAACATCTGGGATGGATTTGGAGGGACTCTAGAAGTGGATGGTATTGGAGATGTTGAAATATGACGTGGTACACTCTGTCTTGTAACAGCCATGCTTGCCATCATAAATCTCATTTAACGATTATGGTCCACTTGAAGTTTTTGTTTTTTTCTCCTCTGCAACTAAGAGAATTTCTGTTCTTTCTCCCCTTATTCCTCAATCTCCCTCCTAATACGCTTTTTTACATGTTGTAAATAGGCCTTCTGCACTCGTCTACTTCCACCTAGTACAGAGGACATCAAACTAGTAATTTCTCTCAGCGGAATGGCCTGGATTTTCTATCTGCGTTTGTTTTTACCAGTGTTTCTTTTCTCTTTGTACTGGCAACAGAGATTACTGATTTGTCCTTGGCATCTCTATCTGACTCATCATCTAGAAAGGAGCTCCCTTCTTCATTGCTTGCCACAGATTTGGTACATGGGAGAAAACACAGTTGAAATAAATGTAATGGAAACAATTTCTTACAACTTACCACACAGCCATAGAACATTAACATATTAACTAGGCCATATCTCCCACAGTTCTTATATTAATTTATAGTTTTCTGCCTTTTTTTCTCCAAATCATTGTTTGGGGTATATAGTACAGGTACCTTAATGCCAGATGGTACCAATTAAGTGTACTTTTGAAACGATTTAACAATGCTTTTGTTATAGAGGTCAGAGAAGATGAATAGGTAGGGTTTTAGGTATACAGAAAAGGGGTGGGGTTACCAAATAGACTTTCCATGGCTCATCAGAAGAAATTAAAGTAAAATACGAGATTTATTCCAACTCCTAAAACACTGAAAATAGAACTGCTGAAAAGGCACAAGGTAAATTATTTAAACACTATATAAATATTCACTAACTAATGAAATCATGGTTTTTTGTTGTTTCATTTATGGAAGCAATTACAGCGACATATTGATATGTAAGCTTTATTAATTCACCTTATGAAATAAAAACAAAATAACTAAAACTACCTATCGAAATCATACCTCAGTCCCACACTAATAATCTCACTTATACAGCAAACGCACATTATACTATTATGGTTTATTTAAAAAAAATAACTAAAACTAAAGTGTTTGATATTATGTACAGATATAGAAACAACTGTATTACCTGAGGTGCTTTCATGAAATCGGGTGCTGTTATTTACAGTGTTGAGTCAGAATTCCCAGGGTCTCCAGATGAATTTTGATATATCACTGGCGTTTCGTTTCCACCCAAAGGCCCCCTAGTGTCACAGCGGGACTTACAACGCTAGAAACCGGGTTTCGATATCCATGGTGGGCAGAGCACAGATAGTCCATTGTATAGCTTTGTGTTTAACTTCATAACAACAACAACAACTTCCACCCAAAGAGAGTTCAAACCGTTGTCAGGTCCAAAACAGGGTTTAGTATCAAACTTGTATCACAATTGTGAAAAGTTGGGCACTTGTAAGCCATAGCAGTAGAGGCCCGCTTCTTCATAACATGTCTCAAAGTAGTTTTGGCGCATCTTTTTAACTTTCATCCTGTACTGCTCGCAGCTTCTAAGAAAGCTGCGATCATCAAATCTTTGAGAAAAAGTAGCAAATGTTTCCGTATTTTTACGGGTTTTACTCAGTTCAGTCTGAGTTTTTGTCGTCTGACCAAATGTCTAAGAGTGTCTTTGTTTCTTTCCTTTGGTGTCCATATTGTTCCTCTGGATATATTTCCACTTGTGTATATATAACTTATCGCATTTTTGCTCTGCCGAAACTGCGTGGGCTAATATCATTTCCGGCTACGTAAAATGTGTGGTTCGTTTCCTGTTTGCTAAACGGACCAAGTCCTTCCGTTGTTCATATTCGAGTTTATCAAGTGAACCGAACTCAGTTCGTTTGCCAAACGGACCGAGACCAACGCTTCAGGTGAACTCAGTGCGACTCGGTTCGTTTACCAATCGAACTTTTTTGTGCACGCTATTCTCAAAAGAAACCAAATCGTGTTGAGTTCGAAAAACCAACAACAGACAAACATATAAACCCAAGAAACTCAGTGTAAACAGGCCTTTAGTTCTGGATGGTCTTTTGCCATCATGGCTATCAAAGTTACTTAGTTCTATACATATATATATGTCTTTATCTCACAACACCATGTTTTTAGCACTAGCTCAAAGCACACCTATCTTCTGGAAAGTTTTCGTTTGAATAAAGTGCATTAAATATAAGTATTGAAGTCTACCATGTCAAAGCATCTTAAAACCAATTCACTTGTTATACTTGAAAGAAAAATTCATAAATTACTAGCTATAACTTATGTTTACTGGGAGTTTGCCCAAATTTTGTGATTGCTGTGCGTATTTACTTAACACCGGTATGAGGATTCATAGAGACACCTCCCCATTTAAACCTTACTACAATATGGTTAAATATACACCGAGAATAATAACTTGGAAGGGTGTTAATAATCAGATTTGTTTCATTATTTTTTTATACATCAAACATGTGGAGTACCAGTTACAAAGTATCTCACACTTTTCCATGTTATAGTTTTCTCTTCAAGATGTAAAAGCAGATGCTTCAGAACTACCCATCTACGTACACGTTTTCCTTTTGTTCTGTATCACAAAGTATTTTAAAAATTTATGTGTCGATTTTCATTCTTCAAGATATATTACAAAATAATATAGACCTTTTTATGTTGAGTTTTAACCTCCAAGATTTGTTCCAGTATTTAATTTCTTGTGGTGAATTCCTTGATGGATCACCAGATACTTCGGAATCCAACATTATTTTCATACTAATTTTTATTTTAAACTTCGGGTTCGAATCCCCGTCACACCAAACATGCTCGCCCTTTCAGCCGTGGGGGCGTTATAATGTGACGGTCAATCCCACTATTCCTTGGTAAAAGAGTAGCCCAAGAGTTGGCGGTGGGTGGTGATGACTAGCTGCCTTCCCTCTAGTCTTACACTGCTAAATTAGCGACGGCTAGCGCAGATAGCCCTCGCGAACTTCAAAACAAACAAACAAACAATTTTAAACTTAAATAACAAAGTAATTTAAAACTCTCAATTCTTCTTAGGTGACCAAAATATTTAGGAAACTTACCTTTATTAACAGTATTATTTACACCAAACTGGTCCACAAGGTAATTTAAAAACATCTTAGCTCTGTTAAGATCTTTTGATGAAATACTACTGGATCTATCGATGACAAAAACCATTTCCAATCCAAGAAACTCGATGTCAGGACCCAATGCGCGGGCAGCACCTGAAATATTATCGTTACATGTTTTATACTCGATATTATTTTTTTAAATGTAGAATGTATTAATTACTTTGAAGATACGTATATTAGTTTCACTTCAAAGTTCAGTATGATTCTCTATATATTTTTTATAACTGAAGAAAGTGTATTTTAATGGTAACAACGTGAGCTTTAAATAGCCAACATGAGTTTACTATATTTGTTGCTATGATTTATATTCATCGGTTTAGAAATGCTAAATAACTTGAGAATAAACTTTCCAGTAAACAAAATAAAAAAAATCAAACAATAATTTTTACGTAGTAAAGATGTCCGTCGCAATATGATAAAAAAGTTTTAATTGGTTTGGTATAGTACTTACTGGTGCTTGAGAAACTTCCCAATTTGTTGGTGAACGAGTTAATTGGTTTGGTATAGTACTTACTGGTGCTTGAGAAACTTCCCAATTTGTTGGTGAACGAGTTAATTGGTTTGGTATAGTACTTACTGGTGCTTGAGATACTTACCAATTTGTTGATAACGAGTTAACTGGGTTGGCATAGTACTTACTGGTGCTTGAGAAACTTCCCGCACGAGTTAATTGGTTTAGTATAGTACTTACTGGTGCTTGAGAAACTTCCCAATTTGTTGGTGAACGAGTTAATTGGTTTGGTATAGTACTTACTGGTGCTTGAGATACTTCCCAATTTGTTGATGAACGAGTTAATTGGTTTGGTATAGTACTTACTGGTGCTTGAGAAACTTCCCAATTTGTTGATAAACGAGTTAATTGGTTTGGTATAGTACTTACTGGTGCTTGAGATACTTCCCAATTTGTTGATAAACG